AATAAAAAATGGGGGTATCCATTTAAAAACATCATTGTGACCTTGACCTGATCTTTATGACGCAACTCAAGGTCAAACTGCTAATATCATAAAATAGATCTTTTTAAACCCTACAACTTTTGTATTTAACATTTTTTTATACAAAGCTTTGTTTTCGAGATATTCAGGTGTTCCGGTATATAATATTCACCCTGTATACATGAAATCGGTAACATCGATAGATAATGATAACGTTTTCTACTTTTTGACGATCGCCTCTACGTTATCGACTTAGCGAATTCGTCATCCACTTCAGCATCCCCTTAAGAGTGGCGATTTTAATTTTTATATTCAATACTGTCGAGAATTGGGCCCCAGCTGTTCAAATGGTATCGATGGAAACGGTTTTGTGTGCTGTCACGCATGCGTCCACACTTATGCACGAATACATCATAGCACACATAAAAATTTCAACGAATACCATATTTCGTGAGATGAGAAGAACGTTTCCTTTCTCCTCAATAACTTCTAACTTCTTAGCGTTATAAAAATTACTATATGCAATTGTGGGATATAAATGTGGCTCGAATAAATTGTTCAATAAGTTGGACACTGTTCAACAAGTGTCCCACGCGCGATCCCTGCATATTTCCTGCAACCAACATGGATATATATAAGAATATATCCGCGTCAGTTGCAGATATTCTCGTATATATTCGCGTGAAGTTTATTCGTCATTCCGCACAAAACTGCGCAAACTCTCGCTGCAGTTTGTTAAATAAATAGATCTCATCCGGGGAGATTCGAGCGCTTGATACTTCTTACACGACAGTCATCAGTTCATATCAGTCTCGTGATAACGTCGCATCGATATAAGTGAAACGTCAAATATAAGATCGTCCGATTAAATTCGTAAGATCCGAACGACATTCGCGACATGGGCGTCGATTCCAAGTGCACGATTTTAGTGACCGGTTTCGGTCCATTTAACGTACACGTGGTGAACGCTAGTTGGGAGGCGGTGAAGGAATTGGGGAAACTGTGGACAAACGTTGAGGAATTCTCCGACGTAAAACTAATCACTGAGGAGATCCCGGTTGCTTACGATTATGTATCCACTCATGTCCCTCAGCTTTGGAAGAAACACAATCCCACGGTAAGTGGCAATGCAACCCAATTTAGTTCATCAAATTTCTTAGTGTTTCTGCTGAAAGAATTTCTTTTTAGATTGTTCTACATGTGGGTGTATCACACAAAGCTGAATGTTTAACGATAGAATGCCAAGCTCACAACAATGGCTATCAAAGGTTTGATGTACACGCCAAGTGTCCTGATGAAACGGGTATGGAGTGCAAGTTCTTGGAAACTGGAATAGATACCAATGAACTTTGCCATAATGTGAATAAAAATTCCATAAAAACTGGCTGCAAGGCCTGTGTCTCATGTGATGCTGGTAGATACCTGTGCGAATACATATTCTATCAATCCCTCTCAATTGATCCAGCAAAAGTCCTGTTTGTACATGTGCCAGATTTCGACAAGTATACAAGTGAACAAACTGCTAAAGGCCTATACGATATACTGTGCCATTTACTAAGAAATTCAAAGTATAGATAATAGTCTTATAGTTTAATCCAACATGTTCAACATTGGTGTTAGAAAAAAATGCTGAGATTTTATATTATGCATCGTACTTATGCATTGCACTTACATATATACATGTTTACTCTGTTCAGTATTGTGTATGTTCCGGAGAATAAGCTAATTAGAATAGACCGGGGAATATAAAATTAAGTTGGGAAGCTGAAGAATGTATATGTAAAGGAATATGCGTGTAGCATACAGCTTAAGAATAAAACGTATACAAATTTTATTTCTGCTATATCAACGTTCAGTATTCGATAAAAATACAATAATACGACTATATATATACGACTGACGTGTGGCACGACTCGAGATTACTGTTGAAACTTCGTCCGTGCGGGTGGAATATTGTATCTAAGCTCGAGGTATTCCGGCTTCCTGATCATCGATGCCACGTGTCCCATCTGTATCGTACAGTCGGGATTCAGATTTGGCGGCAGCAACGTACATTCTCGCTCCAGGATACATGCTAATCCTTCCAGTAGCTCAACGAATCCAATCGATGCTGCTGCGCGTCGTAATCTATTCACCTCCTGTGTGCAACCATGAGAAATGATTACTTTAAAACATGTCCAATACATAAGTAACAACAGTTAAAATAGGGCAAAATAACAGATGTAATTCATTCATTCCATTGTTTAACACAAGCCTTCTCATTGACAGAGAAACATCCAGTGCTATTATCGTAGGCATCTTGATGTTTGAGCAAAACTCCGATCTAATTAAATACCTGAAATACTAGAATATCTCCTAACATATTCAAACCAAATTAATACTCTAATTGTAGCAATAAAAACCAATAATGATTAAATGATTATAATGATTAAATAAAAAAAATTTTTCTCCCACATCGTTTGAAGAACGGTCACCATTATTACTATTAGTTTTTATTTAATTGTTGATTTTTATCTAAAGAATTCCTCCTTTAACAATATAAATAACATATAGTCTCTGACACACAGATCGAGTGTATGCCGTACTTCTCCGTGATATCGCAGATTTACCTTGTAGAAATTCTGTGTTTTCTCAGGTAATTTCCGCGCGTGCCTCAGTATCTTCTGAATGTCAGATTGCAGACCAACCTGACGAATCCACGAAGGCGAATTTTGCGTGTAACTTCTTTTCTCGGTAGGTCTGACCGGGAAACTAACGCCGGCGGCATCAGCCGCGTCCGCCGGACCTAAATTGCTGAAAGCACCTAACCACGGTACAACATCGTTTCCTTGTTCTAATACCGTTAACATTAAGTTGGATTTCTTCTTGGTGTCCGCCCAAGAGTATATGAAGCCGTACCAGTCATTATTCAACTGACAAAGGGCTGCCATATTTTCTACCTGCAAAGTCGAACGTCAATTCTTTCACGGACATATTGATATGAATAAAACAAATTGTTAGATGTCTGAAGGTATCACCTTCAATGCTCCATGAAGCAGCACGCAGAAGGACGGGACTTTTCCGTCATCTCCGGCCTCATCGGTGTCCGACTCATCCTCCAACGATATACCTTGCATACTCATGGTCTTTTCTGTTGCCAATGGTAACATCAAATGCCTGGAGATCGCGCTTGGGCTACCGACATCCCCCACGGATATGAATCCGCAGATTTCTATGGTATTCGATATTACCAAGCCTGAGATCAATTCGAAGTCGGTCTTCTTTGTATAAGGCTGAAACATTAGCAGTACAGTCTCTGTAAGAATGTTCACAGTAATCTTCAATGTATATTTGATGCTTGTTATTACCATAGGAGGGGGTGACAACGAAATACGAGAGCCTAAATGACCACATTTCAGATATCCTTGGAATGAAACGTAATTTGCCTCGGCTAGCTTCTGGAAGCAAGCTGCAACCGAGTATTTGCCAAATGGTGATTCTGGGACTAATACAATGCTATCACCACCAGCTAAATCAACTAAACGTTGATACAAAGGTAATCCTTTCTGCAAAGCAGGATCTAAAAATATACAAATATATTATTCAAGTGTACACAATAAGGAGATGCATATAGGATGTTTGCCACTTGCCAAATCTTTCTTACCTTGTTGCGGCGCAATACAAACAACGCTTAATTTCCCTGGATATGGGAAAGGTAGTGGGAAGGGATTTACATCTTGTGCAATATTTAAGGTAGTTAAAGAATGGCTCAAAGACATTGGCCCTATGCCAGTGTTACCATCTGTAATCAATATCACTTGACAAGCTGTTGTGTTACCCCATTCTGCCATTATTACATTATTAACACCACGCAGGGCTGACTCGATACATGTTTTATCCCACTCCTCAATAGTCTGTAATTTGGCACGTATACTGTCATAATCTCGTGTAAAAGGGCAAATCACTTCATACAACGATGAAAATACCATCTGGAAGTCGAAATTGTAAAATACCTATACGCTGATGTATAATTGCATCAGTTGAATATACTATAATACTGAACTTACCAGTGATACAAATTCCAGTTTTGAATTAACTTGCAAATAATGTAATAAAGCGTTTATACCATGTACTGCTAAATGATGCCGTGTCAGTTGTTCATTTTGCAGTTCATTCATTCCATTGTTCAACACAAGCCTTCTCATTGACAGAGAAACATCTAGTGCTATTACCGTAGGCATCTTGATGCTTGAGCAGAATCTAATTAAATATCTGAGATACTAGAATATCTCATAACATATTCATAAATCAAATTACAACACTCTAATTTCCGTAATTGAAGCTTCATAGATTTCATAACATATAGGTTATGCGGAAACGCGTGGTAGTATATATCTCACTTTTGTACTTATCAAATTTAATATATACGTCAATGTATTCTGCTAAATTAATTTTTCCATATATAAAACGACATCTTTTATTTTATGTAATGTGCTAGTAAACATTTAACTATTTTGGTTAGAATACTTCTGTGTCGTGCCTACCGGCACTTAACGCTACATATCAGTACGTAAAACTCTAACCTAACTAGTCAATAGATTAACTGATTGATTTGGATCTTCCTCTTTTATGAATATTATTTTCTATTGGAGAATTATAGCTTTTTGAAATATCTCTACGTTATTTTCATTATTTTTTAAAGAAATACTTAGTTTCATTTCATACCATTTAATTTAATACCCAAACTATTGGAACACTTTTGTTAGGTAATATTGTGTTGGCTAAATTTGAAAAATATAGAATTAATACTGTGTAATATATATTTTATATTGCATTATATTGTCTCATATCATAGTATATTGTATTATAACATAATTCATAAAAGATAAATATATTAAATGTATCACATAAATTATTGTAACAATACCAATATAAACTCTGTTTTCATAAAAGACTTCATATCTATATGTAACATTTATATATATATATGTATGTACATATCACATTGTGTGTTCTTATATTCAATTTGCTTACAACTAATAAATATTACATACATTCATCATTTAGCAATAGCACAATAAATTAGAATAAAAAGAATTGAACACATTAATATAATACCATTTATAAAAATGAATCTAAATGTATAAAGAACCATCAGCAGGCCCCAAATATCTCATAGAAATTAATATCACGTCGATTAAGGTCCATACACCCAATCCACCAAAACTGAAGAGCTTTCCAATTCCTTCTTGCCAATGTCCCAAGTAAAACCTGTATTTCAATATACATCTTGTGGAATTCATAATCAATTGTGGAAAATATACAACTATATCTGAATGATCAATATACCTGTCTGCTCCAAATCCACCAAGAGTGATGCTCAGAATTAGAGCTGTGGACCATCTATAGCCAACTGTCCAATTACATTGCAAGTTTTTCATAAACTTCCGTTTTCCCAAACACAGAATATCATCATTTACTGTACAATTTGTTCTACAACATTTGTTTAAAATATCATCCATTAGTGCCATCATAAGTACAAACAACTAACTTAACAATCACAAACCTGTAATATTGCTGTGGAGATGCCACTGAGCTACAAGAATTTTTCTGCTGACATTGATGTTCCCAATGATCAGTTTGGTAACAATAACGACACATATATTTTTTCTGAAAGGACTGTTCTCCCTGTAAAGAATTGTAAGCATTTAACTCAAAGATGCAAGTTAATTTAAATTTATTAAGAAAGTGTTAAATTTAATAAGCATGTATTACATACTATACAATCAATATGTTCCAGCACAGTACAATTAGCAACATACATTGCACCATATATACAATTATAATTTAAACTACATCTTAAACATTCACTACTCAATTCTGTGCAAGATGTCCCAGTTGGACACATGTTTGCCAATTCCTCCTGTAATTTAACAATTCAAATTATATGCATATATTGTTTCCTTTAAATCAATTGCATATACGGTCTTAATAAATCCTACCTTTTTACTACTATAGGCTGGTGTAGAATTTACATTAGCTTCTTTCAAAGCATAACTAACCATACTTTCTGCAATTGAAATATCGTTTATTTATCGCAAAATAAATAAATGTTCTAAACAGAACATTTATTTATTATTTGCAAATTTCACAATTTATGCGTGCAAAAAATCTCTAAAAATTTATTATACATGAATGACGACATAAATGTTTAACAACAAATGCATTGATAATTGAATGAGTGTATTTAACATATAAATAATCTTATGTATACAAAATATATTGCGGTTCAAATAACATACAGCCGTAAACTTACTAACCATAACCCATGTGAACCTCTTGAATGGAGGTTGACAAGAGTGCTATGAGAAGGAATATCACATTCTTCGAATTGATTCGCACGACATTCATCCTGAGAGTTCGTTTCACCGGCTGGACACTATACCCGCCGAGAACTTCGCTGTTTCAGTTTCCGATTTTTTTCGCATATATGAAATCAAACGATGCGACAGCGCGTCTCACACCAAGTGTATTTGCGATATATGAAAGTTTAATGAAAGGGAATCCAAACGTTTTGCAACGCGTAAAGAGAGATTGCGATTGGTCTACATGGCGCTCCGAGGCGTTCGTAGTGTTAGATTCTGCTCAAACAACATATAGGCTAAGTTCGTCTTACACGCTTTCGTGCTGAAAGCATCATTCTGGCTGCGTTCGCTTTAGTCTCGGTCTACATATACATGATTTAATACATGATTTAAGCATTAAGCTTTAAAAATTGATCAATCACAGTTAAATGATGAGAATAATTAGTTTTTAAGATTTAAATCACCTATTGTAAACCGGGACTTATACTGCAATTCTAAGCAGAATCGTAAGTCTCGTAACTTGTTCTCGTAAAATTCGTAAGAATTTATGAATAGATTTACAATTGTATGCAATATATATATATATATATATATTGTGTATAAATATACAATATTTATATTGTATATTTACAATTATTTGTAAATATCGTAAATTACATGAAATCGTAGATATTTACAAGTAATTGTATGACATATAATATTGCATAGAATTGTAAATCTATAAATTCTTACTCATAAATTCTTACATATTTTACGAGAACAAGTTATGAGACTTACGATTCTGTTTAGAATTGCAGCATTAGATATTTTCGCGCTGATAACGCGCTCATTTTATCTCTATTACTCATTTGCTCATTACATGCCAAAGAAAGAGTAATTGCAGCGTGAAAGTATTCAAAACGAACGTAACCTTTATCTTCTTTCAACGTGTAACGAACGATCAAGATAAAACGATGCCTTTAACACAAAAGTATACAAGAAAAACTTGACGTGTTTACCATGCGGTCGCAGCTACGTTTCAAAACCGTAGCACTAGTCTACAAATCGATCATATATTTCCTCCGCGTAAATTTGTGGAGAATGAAATTTCATTAACGAATTCCACAAGACTTTCTGCTATGGAAAAATGCCTGTGGAGTAAACTTTATTGTCCACAAACATCAACGCCATCTGATATAGCGACGGAGGAAAATTTCATGAAGGCCATTTATGCTCGCTGCCCTGAGTTCGCGCATACACTTTCGTTCCTGTGTTCAATCAGCTGACTTCCGGTACTAATACGAGACGGTAGAGATGTAAGGTGTTTCCGCGGTAGTTTTGCCTGACACGAAGGATTGTGTATTTTTTATATGCAAGAAGAACGAGACACCGTCCGTCTCCTGCGAACCGGCTCGAGTCGAGCTGAGCCGAAGTGTCGTTGGTATTGCGCTTCTTTGCAGCCTAGTTCCAGCCGGAACGCGATGTCAATCCCCGCCTAACCGCGCAGCGGAATCATCTCGCTGAAGCGCATTTCTCGAAGTTCCGTGAAACGAAATTATCCACTACCCTCTGCCGATCTTTAACGGATAATTTCGTGTCGCGCTCTATGGTAAGCGCGATCTCACGACGACGATGACGTCGTCGAGAGAAATAAAGATCAATTCCGCCTGCCTTCGTCGGCAAAGCTGGTCGCCACGGGAGGTTATCGTGTGACTAATTCGTTTGTAGGATGCAGTGTAACGCGTTCGTCGCTGGTCTCGTCGTTAACAACATGAATTCGGAGGAGAACTGCGCGAGTGGTCAAGCTAAGACGGAGGTGAGAATGGACAGTTTGAATGACAATCAGTCCGCCGAGCAGGCCGCCGTGATGCAGCCGAAAGTGGTGCAGTTGGAGAGCAGAGCGTCCGGCGAACAACTGAGATTGAACAGCAACGGCAGCGAGAGCAACGCCAAGCTGATACCATCCAAGATCAGCGTCGTGTTTCCCAGCAGAACGAAACCCGGTCAGACTGTCGATTGTGCCAATTCTGTGGAACAAAATGCCTCTCAGGATTCATCGAACGCGAACGTATCTTCCGTGTTTATGGCTACCAGCAATATCAAGCCTCAGACTGCAAACACCAATGTCGTGTCAATTGAAGCCGCATGTCAATTGAAGCACAAGACTGTTGTGAATACGAGCGTACTGAATCTGCCTAAGTCCCAGATGCATCTGAACCTCTCTTCCGCTCAGACAACTACACATCACAACAACCATAACTCTACATCGATCTCTCTCGGTTCTGGCTCAACTACTAATAATGTCGCACATTATGGCATATCCACATCAAGTTCACTATTAATGCCTCCTAACTTGTCAATGATCAAACCAAATGATGATATAGATATGAAGAATAATGTGGACTATGCATCGGCAATAGAGAAATGTCCTTCTAAAGTTTCCTGTAGCTCAGATTCTAGTCCAGAGGCTGATTCCTGGACATCGAAGTCTTACGGATCTAAACGTGTACTGAATAATATAAGTGGTAGTATAGGTTCAACGAGTCAAGGTACTTGTTGCGTCCTGAGACCTAATATCAATGGGAGTAGGGAAGTTGCTGGTCCTAGTGGGTTACAGAGGGTAAGTTTTTGTGCATTATGATAAAATATATAGAGGGTATCAATTATATATAATTTTCTCCTATACACAAGAAAAAGCCTGCTGCATTTAAGTAAATGTTATTTGTTTTAAGCATGTTATCTGAATCCTAGTGTAGTTTAGTATTTCAACCAAAAATATTAAAACAAAAATTGGTTTGCTTACTGCATACAGTTGAACCAATTTTTTCTTCAATAGAACTTTATAATATTTTTGTAAACATTATTTTAAGTACATGATAATAAACTTTTCTAAAATTTGTGATTATATATTTAAGATTATCAAAAGATATTATCAAGAAAATACTCTATTAAAAATAATGGTTACGTAAAAGAAAAAAAATAAATTAAGTAATAGCTTTTCTTAGCAGTAGAGTATTTTTCTATGTGTAATGTAAACTCGTGGCAAGTGAAAAGTTTCATTGAAAAATTCAATGAAACTTTTTATGAGTTTACGCGAGGGAAAAAAGGTGTACATGATCGATATCTTGAGTTCTTGCTGAGAAAAGTGAAGTTTGTTTTGATAATGTAAATTACCATAGATTTCACAGAGGGAGCAGATAGAGCGAATGGATTCTAGTTCTGGAAATGAAGGCGATATGTCCGATGGGGAGGACTACTGCATCTATACTTATAAGGGAAACGATGATGCGATCCATTTGGATCAAAAAGAGGAATTGAACCAATGCCATGCGGAGGATCGCGGAGCAGCGGGACAGTATCATAGCGGTAGATCCAGTCCAGAGATGGATTTCTTAGAAATGGACTTTGATCCTGGGCCTTCCTGTGAGCAGGTAAAGCATTTGCGTTCCGGAAAATTGACTTTACATCGTCAAAACTATACACGCTGTTGGATTGTAACGTTTCTCGTTCGCAGGATACTGGCGACAGCGATTTGGCCTCTATAAACGAAGACATACAAAATATAGCATTAGATAACGTGGAACCGGATCCGGTGCTGAACGATTTGAGCAGCGGGAAGGTGGTGTCTAGACAGACGATGGCCGCTATGCCGCAGAACTCGAGACAGAGCGGGCAGAACGTCAATCACACGACCTTTCAACAATGCACCAGTAATCAACCCGCGATAGAGCAGAACACGAAGTCAACTTACTCTGCTCCGTGGATGCCCAGCACTAGCGCCGGAACTGGTACGATTCCCCGTTTGGCCGTTTCTACTCGGCATTTGTTAATGCATTACCAAGCAAGGGACTACTCGAGTATTATCGCCTATATCAACGTACTCAATATAGTACGAACTTTATAGGAAGATGGGAAAGCGTGTCGCTCTATCGCAGCACGGGTTGCCCGTTGCGCGAGTCGTACGGTTATCACAACACGAGTGGTGACCTCATTTCCCCTGGCGATAATAGAGACTCTGATTCGGAATTATGGGCCGAGCCGTCGACAGCGGCCGCTCCGGACAATTCAAATCTGAACGCCAGGAGGGTCAATCTCAGCTCGACGCTTTACCATCGAATGATGGCCAAGAAACTGATGCTCAATAAGCAAGCTGCGTTTAATCAAAGCGGTGATTCAAATCTGGTTTGTATATAAACTGCTAAAAGCAACGGACTCGCGAAGATCGTGCGAATTATGTAACTAAATTTTCCACTCTGTTCGTATATAGGAAAGCGAATTGTGTAACGAACGAATAGACGGACTACCGCCGGTTGAGAAAGTGATGCTATGGAGCGAGCAGGAAGCTACGATGAAACAGGTGACGCAAATCGGCACATCTGCCTGCGGTGCTACATCTGCGATTAACGCCTTGGTAAGAAGGATCTGCGTTTAACGCAGATCGAGAGATTTATTAATAGGCAGAAATTCGGCGGATCCCTCTAAAACGGTCCGACCGCAGTTCATAAGTCATTTTTGCTTATAGTTGGCCTTGAACGTATCATTTTCCCTGGAAGTATTAGTGAAAGGTGTAAATACAAGATTGAGAGAATTGGGTGTTTCATTGCCGAGATACCTCGTGAGCCGATCGGTCGCGGGAGCAACTCATAAGGATATAGCGCGAGGGATATCTCTGTCAACGAACGGCGCAGCTGTAACAAAGTTCTTCGCGTTTTATCCAGAACGAAAGGTGTCATTATCTCATTGGCTACATTATTGGATCTCGAAAGGTGACAGAAAAATTCGATGTATTACTCGGTTTATAGCGGATAGATGTACATGAACAAGCGCGGAACCTCACTTTCGTGTTTTCTTAGGTGCCGCGCCAATTGCAACGTTGAATCTGCAGCATTGCGGCGAAGGTTGCGACATACCGGACGCGTGGCACCATCAGATGATATTTGGCGTAGGACAGGCTGGCATATACTTAACAAATCCCTTAGAATGCTTGCCCGAAGAGGTTCGTATCAACTGATCGTCGCGAATCACGCTAATTTGCCGTGCTGATGGTTATCTTAGTACGAATGAAATTTTATCCTTGTAACACGCTTTTAGCTCTTGTGGCATCAATTAGTTAGTCCCAGTATCCTGTTGATACGAAGGACGGACGTTTTAGCGCATTGGAATGCAAATACAGATTTAACACCGCTCGCAACGATGGATCAAAAGTGGCGGAAACTTAACGTTCTCGGTACGTACAAAAAATATATATACAACAAGTAAAAACATATAACAAATATATATGTACACATCTTCTTGGACTAACCGTTGAAAGTGTTTTTTAATTTCATCGAAATATTTATGGGTAACAGGGCAAGTTGTAAATATAGTACGCGGAGCAATGAGCGAGAGACAGCAACCGAACAGTACGACCACAGGAGCTACTCACATTCGCATACCAGCGTCTTACCAAGCAGGTATTACGTTGGTCATGTGCGCGGATTCCGCCGCCGCCACCGAGTTGTTACATGCTGAACAACTACCACTACTCTAGTCCTGGTAATTTAAAACCAATAAACAAACCTAACCGGTCGATCTGATCTACAGTGAATTTTATTAGCAGGCCGAGGGGGGAGGGAGGTTCGCGCGCAGCAATGATAGTTTATTTACGATGTAAACAGACCCGACGGAACGAAAATAATTTACATTTTTAACATATAAAAAAACACGTTTGTATTCAAAGAGAGAGAATATTACTGATTAAAATATATTTCAATTGAATATATTTTTGTTTTTTATGCGGTTATATTGATTTATAAAAATGAAAAGTATCGAATTTTCTCTAAAAATACAACTGTAGTTCAGTAGTAATGCTTGATTATATTTACTTCTCTACAAAGAGATAGGCGATATAAAGAAATGCAAGATATTTCGCATTATACAAATTTCTTAAAAATTTATTGGGTTGATTTTCCATCGCTTCTTTTTCTTCGTGACTATTTATTTTTTTTAAATTAATGGATATATATAATATACATTCTTATTAAAAAAAAATACAATAATTATTAACACGTTTTCTTACAGTAGTATCCTAGAAATCAAATTTAACAAACAAAAAATATGTCATCCTATTTGTGTGAATTTTATTATTTTATTACATTATAAGTTGTATTCTGTGTCGGAATTGTGGAGAAGTATTTGTTTGCTGAATATGTCATACGTAAGTATGACATAACCTTGTGTAATCGTTTGTTGCCATAAATATTCGGTTTTATGTACATGTCTACAATCTACAGCCCAGCACAAACTTTCCAGTTCATCAGGGATGCCTTTGTATTTTTTATGACATACTAAGGAATAAAGAAGATTTTGTTATATAAGGAATTATCCACATAATTATGTAAAAAGTTATCGACATAATTATGCAAGCTTTTTAAATCTGTTCCATTGAAATCTCACCTTTCTATAAGAGACGCGCGCATACTTGATGTGATAGCAGCTGGATTAGCTTCGTTAAGTTTAAAAACATTCTCGATAACCGAAAGCTCCGTCGAAGTAGTTTCCATACCACAGAAAGATACCCAATCATTTACAACCATACCAGCAGCGATTACATTACTGCCTCTGTTTACAGTACCAGCCTAAGATACAAATTATCAGTTAAAAAAATTGAAAATTGTTGGGTTTTGCCGGCTTGTCTTACCGCAAGTGGTACTTGTAAAAGGGATGATAACTCATCTTGATCCTGTATAGAAGTTTTTGGATGCACCATACCACCTTGATTTGATAAAACGGAATACGATCCAACGAGAACATTACTCGCGATCGTTTGTCTAAATACTTCCACTTTCAATGTGTCTGCTAAAATCTCCTCAGTTTCCTAAGAGAGAGAGTCAAAATTACACACACACATACATATATGTGTACATATGTGTATATATATATATATATATATATATATATATATATATATATATATATATACACACACACACACACACACATACATATGTAAAACATAATTATCAAATTAGCATGCTCTAATTGCAAAGATTTACTTATTCCTTAACCTAATACAAAAAAAATACATCAAAGATTTACCCTATCCAGATCAGGGTGAACAAGAGCAACATAATCATTGCATGCTATAACATTGCCAAGGGCAGAGAGTCTCTCCTCTACCCTTTGAACTTTCGCGCTATCTGGTAAGGAATTTCGAATGTGTTGCAATTCTATATCTGTTGTAGTATTTGGTACTAGCAGTCCATTTCTGTTCCCTGTGTTACAATCATACAAGTATTTACATATACTGACGTAGATTGTCTAGTCTACTTGTTTACATACAGTAACATGCAATGTTGAAAAGTAACTTTTAAAAGTAATTTCGAGCTTGGTTAGATGAAACATCTTTTTATCATTATATTTATTACCTTCATTGTTATACTTACCAACACATAGTCGACCAATAATCCGACATCCTGCTATTGATGCGTGAATAACTGGAATTGTCTCAGACAATTCTGCCTCGAATACACTGCAATTGTATTAGTATAGTGATAGTAATTATAATCAAGTAATAAGACTAAATATTAAATTGTGTTATAAATAATTTCAGATTTTTTATATAAAAAAATTAAATTTTTGTCATAATTTTATGAAACAATATATACATTATTCTGGTGTATGATCTTCTGCCAATCAGTGTATACATTTCTTCATCAAATTAAACAACAAAAATATTGTTTTATCTGAAAAATTCGAAATTATTTGTTGCACAACCTAATACATACACATGGCTGCAGTAAAATTTATATTATACTCATATTCGTACCGAATTAACGATCACAGAACTGTATTTTTAAATAAATGTAATGTGTATATCATATAATATATATATAATTCTATGAATGTATAATTTATAATAGAGCTCGGCACGTGGTGTACATTCGTTCAGTCTATATTGCATATAGATAGAATAATATCGAAGCCTGATCTGTCACGTGCTCTTTCGCTTTTTGCTCAAGCAACAAAACACAAAGAGCACATTATATAGATCAAGCTTTACGCGAGCAGGTGGTTTGCATCTTTTGAGTACGATTTATACGGACGTATCTTTAAGTTTATATTCAAAATTATCAACATACAGCGCAAACAAAAGCGGGACTCTTAGAAGTGAAACAGCGATTTCATAAAATTACGTTATCAGTGATATCATATCTATACGTGAAGATTTTACACGATCACGTGGTTTATGTCAGCCTACGATTGATGAGGATATATCTTTAAGGTTATGTTAAAAACTATCAACGTGCAACGCAAAGGAGCGAGTCTCAAAAGCAGAGCAGCGATTTCACAAAATTACGTTATAAATAATGTCATACCTGCTTGTAAAGATTTTGCACGATTACGTAGTTTATATTTCTCGAGTCTATGAGACGTATCTTTAAGGTTATGTTCAAAATTATTAACGTGCAAGGCGAACAAAGGATTTTCAGGAGCGAAGCAGCAAAAATTGCGTTATGTAACATGTAAATTACGTTAAAATGACAAAATACATACCTGTAAAAGTTTTCAGAGCCGCCGATTGCTACTAAGCAATAAGAGTTTGTCAATTTCGAAAAAACGCCAATTTCATTATTATTCTCGAATTGTACACGTACCGCCATAATTACAAATATATGAGCTTTTTATGTCGACGTTTTATCTATCCTCGAATGTCTCTACGTCTTGCCTAACTTCGAATGTCTCGGCGTCCTGTCTAACCTCGAATGTCCTAACGCGGCATAAATTAATGGTCCTTAGCACAGAAGGCGGGAACGTTATCAAACGGTGTAAGAAGTGGCGCGGTAGCCAATTAACATGCCGCTCTTCCACAAGAGCTACAAGTTTATTGGCGTCGTTCCTGCCACGTGGCAACAACTCGCGTTTATGGGTGCGTTCAGATGGAAAAAGAAATAGCAGACAGCCATGTATATTACATCCATGTGAAACCCATCTATCAAACAACGGAACGGAATGAAAACGGAATTACTCTGATTGGCTGACTCTCATGCGTGCGTTCGAAACTCTATCCGAGTGCACTCGCTGCGTTGGAGTGAGAAAGATATAGGAATGAAATAAAGAGAGAGGAGAAGCACCCGGGTGGAGTTTTCGAACGCGCCTCATCATATTTTTTTTCCGTAACTGCTCTAGGGCCCTATTCCGTAACCACTTACCGACAATTGTCGAATCAATAGACGTCGTTGCGCAGCTTTTTTATATCATAGAATCATAGGCGCGTTCGAAAACTCCACCCGGGTGCTTCTCCTCTCTCTTTATTTCACTCTTATATCTTCCTCACTTCAACGCAGCGAGTGCACCCGGATAGAGTTTTTGAACGCACGCATGGGAGTCAGCCAATCAGAGTAATTCCGTTTTCATTCCGTTCCGTTGTTTGATATATGGGTTTCACATAGACGTAATATACATGAACCCCGCATACGGCCAGAAAAGTGAAGTCAACGGATTCCGATTGACCACCGTATGATTGGACACAAATTGGGTGCTTTTCAGTTGCGTACACTGTGTTACACAAAACCAGTTTATTGGTTGCATATTATCTTACAAGATATTTTAGATAATATGTGACCAATAAACTGGTTTTGTGTACGTGTGTATCAAGATGTGTTAAGCAATTGGAAAGCACCCATTGTAATGGGTGCTTTCCAGATAGGACTATGGTCCGACCTTATATTTAAGATCATCTTAAGTACTATCTTAAGATATCATGAACCAATCACAGAGCGGTATTCGCATCTTAAGCATTACTTAAGACGATTTTTAAATAATAGCGTGTTCGACTGGTCCTAGGTTAATCGCTCCGAGAGCGATTAATGACGTCATAAGTCTCTACTAGCCAATCATAAAGCTTATAAGTACTTGTTCGACCAATAAATGTTATAAGGCTGAATAACCCAGAGCCAGTCGAACATGCTGTAAGATTCGACTGTGAATACCGGCCTATATCCATGGTTTCACATGATACGAAACTGTTAAGGCTCGTCTACAATAGCTGTAAGAATAAAGGCTAGTTTATGATAGCCGTAATCCGTTAACTTATGCCAGAACCGTAAAAAATTGACCAATCACAGTCGATTATTCTTCTATAATTCGACTATAATTGGTCAATTTTTTACAGTTCCGGCATAAGTTAAAGGATTACGACCATCATAAACCAGCCTTAAGGCTGTAAGGCTATAACGTGAGCTGTCAGCGAATGAAAATAATTCATTTCGCGTCTTACAGTCTTACAGTCATATTTTTACAGAAATTGTAGACGAGTCTTAAGTCCGGATCTACAATAGATGTAGTAAGCTTTAAGAAATTGACCAATCACAATCGATTATTCTCCTGAAATTTGATTGTGATTGGTCAATTTCTTAAGACTTAGGGCTTAAATCATCTAATGTAGATCTTATGGAACGGAACAAAAACGAAAAACATTCTAATCTATCGAAATCGAAAATTTGCGAAGTGTGGTGAAATATGTCCAGTTTGTAACGTTTTTTGTCCAGTTTTCGCGATGGAGAAAACGAAAAGACTGTTTATTATGGAAAATTAGCGAATGTTCATGCCTACGTCGCGCGGTCCACTCATCAGTAGTGAGACAAGAATAGAGATTGGACACGATTGGACATCTGTCCTTTTTTAACTTACTATCATTGTACGGAATCAACGGGCACAAACCAAGCGCATTTTATCGTTATCACCGCGAAAATGGACCTAACGAACGTAGTAAAGGTGCACTTTGTTAGATGGCGTCCCGAAAATGCATCTAGCTTTGACCATTGAAATCAGGCTGGTGGTCGCTCTCATGTTTCTCTCTAGGGATCGATTGTGTATCTCAAAATGGGGTGAAAATGATAAAAGTGCAAGTTTACTAGAATATTTGTAACTCCATTGGTTAATGCCTAATGAATTTGCTCACTTTTATAATTTTCACTTTGTTTTAAAATACATAATCGACCCCCTAGTTTGAGGGTTTCTAGCGCCTAGCTCTGGCCACTAAAATCAGGCTGGTAGTCGCTCTCAGACTTCTCTCTGAATAAACTCTACTTTTGAATATCGTATCGTCGTATGCAATATGAATTTTCCATTAGCTTATAGCCGAGATACCTCGCGCCAATCGAGAATTCTCCCAGGGGGTCGACACATATATATATATATATATATATATATATATATATATATATATATATATATATATGTGTTAGTTCGATATGTGTTATCGATCGAGATACGGGAGTCGAAATTTGAATGTGGTGCGCACTTCAGGTAGATGCAGTAATGGCCGGCGGAAGGTAACGATTGTGAACATTGTTCGAAGATTTGTGTCGTCGGATTCAATCATACGGAACAAGGAGAGACAGAAAAGTACGTAATAATCATGTTTAATGTAACTACAAAGCGATAGATACAACAAACAATGCTCATATGCAAGGATCTTTATGATGTAAAATAAGATTCTGAAGGCGCGTCATTCCGTCGTGAGTTTCGGCTCTCTCGTTTGATTTTCGAATTATCAGGGATGAATAAATTATTCTCTTCACTGTTCCCTTTAGCTCTAGACAGAAGACTGTCCAACAAATTAATCCTCACTCTATCATCATCCCACACAGCAGAAATATTCAAAATATATCATCGGGATATTCTACAGATATTGAGATATCTTTAGGACATCTCAATAATATATTTTGAACATTCTGTTGTATGGGATGATGTTAGCAAAATGAAGACACCCAGTCCTTTACCGCAGAATTGTCCACTAATGACGTTAGAAACGGGAAATTTCATGCAACAAGAAAAATTGAATGCATTCTTACGAAATACGTTGAAATATAAGGACATTATATTTTGTGCAAGAAATATTTGACAAATATGCTCAATCGCGCGGATCACAAGTATCATTTCATGGATATAACCTTTTAACGTTATTTTCAACGCTTTTCCTGCAACGAATTTTGGGTATATGTTTTGATGTCGTTAATCAAGATGGTCACGATGTGGACACTGGAGAAATTGCTCCTGCAGAGAATAATTTATTCTATCTAAAGAAAAGTACACATTTTTCTTTGTTACATCGGAACAATTGTTATTTTATTTGATATTTCTCGACTTGTTTCTGATTCGACGTTTCTATAGAATTAATGTCGTGATGCAGAATCGTGATGCTGCGTCCCATATCTTTCCCACCGCCCTGCGGCGTGTTGTGTCTGGGGTGCGAGATCTGCTGCGACCTCGTCGTTGACGAGCACCAGCCGACTGCCGTGTTCCAATCTTCCACAGTCTGCGTCGATAGGGCGCGGAAGTCGAACGGCGACGTGCCATCTAGTTCGAATGCTGTTCAACGGCGACCCGGAACGGCCGAGGGTAAGCAAAACGAAAAAAAAAAAGAAAAGGAAACTGATAAAACCGAGAACTTTGCTCGATCATACATTTCGTGAGGGATTCGTGAAAATATAAACGGAGCGGGCGGGAGAATGCGCAGTTATTTGCTAACCGCTTCGGAGAAACAATCTCGTCGGTTGTGTTTCTCTCTCTTTAAACGAAAAGCAACTTAAGCCCGACAACGCTTAAAAGCATCCGCGCGTTCCTAGGAGCATCTATCAGAAACGTTCCCTCCGACTCGCGCTTTAAAATTCTCACCGGTTTGCAATTTTAATCCTCCACTACCATGGAATCGAATTTGAATAACATAAGGCACGACGCCGAGAGAGAGTTCGATCGTCGCGAAGGGACTCGCCGGCATGTCGACCGAGAAAGAGGACGCACAGATATCGCGCGAAATCGACGCCTCACGACTTCTCCGTCACGGTCCCTGCGCGAGATGGCCGGGAAAGAGCTGTCGCGGCGACGTCATCTGCGCTTGCGATGTGTGCCTCGCGGCGTACACTTGCGGCGGATGTCCTCGTAATTGCGCGTTGCGTCGCGCCAGATACAAAGGCAGGAAGCTGCGCGGCGCCGCCCTGTGTTGCACCGGCAGATCGGCTTGCTGCGGACGATCGCTCAGTCCACGGAGACGCGATTGTTCGTGCCTCGCGAAACGATCGAGATAGTACGCGAAACGATCCTCGAGTGCGACGGTAAAATACTCAGAGATCAAAGTGCACTGAAGAAAAAGTATTTGAGAATTTATTTCTATGAAATAAACTTTATATCCCACTAATTATTAATTAATTAATTTTCAGGTGTCTTTTTTTTAGTGCACTGATTTAATTACAAATTTTACAATGATTTACAAATTACAATTACAAATTTATTTGTAGGATATAAAGTTTGTTTGAAGAAATATTTGATTTTTTATTTCTATAAAATAAACTTTATATCCCACTAATTAATTTTCGAATGTCTTTTCCTTAGTGCATTGATTTACTAATTACAAATTTTACAATGATTCACAAATTACAATTACAAATTTATTTATAGGATATAAAGTTTGTTTCACAGAAATATTTGGTTTTTTATTTCTATAAAATAAACTTTATATCCCACAAATTAATTTTCAAGTACCTTTTTCTCAATGCACTGATTCACAAATTACAAAATTTTACAATAATTTATAAATTACAATTGCAAATTTATTTGTAGGATATAAAGTTTGTTTGACAAAAAAAAGCTTTATTTTTATGAAAACTTGATATTCTACAAATTAATTTTCAAGTATGTCTTTTTTTCTCAGTGTACGTTCGCTCTGTTATGACAAAAGATTAACAACTACCAATTATAACGGTTATATGCGGCAAATATATAGACAAATATAGTGGTAAATAAGATAAAAATACTAATTCTCCTAATCCTGGACATTTTTATTGTTTTGATCTTTAAATATTATATCATTTTATATATTACTTTATAAATTACTTTTAACTATTATATAATTACTTATGTAACTATTACTTTATATAATACAAGTATTTTTAAACTTTCAACATAGAATATACATATACGTATTTGATACGTATATCTTCTTTATGTCGAAAGTTTAAATATTGGTATTTAAAGACTCCAAAACAATAAAAATGTTCCGGATTGTGTGCTTTTATTTTATAGACCGATAAAAGATGAATAGACGATGATAATATACAGATGAATGCCCGGAAATTCATGTATGAAAACAGACAAGTTCTAAATAAAGAAAACACTCTCGAGAAACTAAAAGTGACAGAATTTTTAGTCTAGTAGCTTCTTTGTGATCGCATAAAGCTGGGATTGAAAGTGGCAGGCTTTGTATACGATGTTGTAAGTTTATTTATAACAAACACGTTCGATTGTATATATTACGATCAATGGCAATTCGATCTATGAGAACGCCGCAAAATCATCGTGAGGGCGACCGAAGTTTCGCGAAAATCTCAGCATCGGCCAAGTATCGTCCGCGAGCTCGAGTTAAACGCGACTTGGCAGGAAAATCGTCGCCGTTAGAACTTCTTTAAGTATTATATTGTTTCGCCCTAGTCTCCCTTATATCTATTACGCCAGTAAGAATTGGATTCATTTACTTGCAAACTCGCGGACGATGCGCGCTGTTCATCCTAAAAAAGCGTCAGTAAAAATGTCGATTGATGAAAATCATTGTTTTATTAAAATCGCCGTGAGCGTTATAAACGAACGCCTCGCGTAGTTCTCATCTCGATTGGTTCTGGGGATCGCGACGATCGTGTGTGTCTTATTTTAGAAGAATTCGTCTGCAGTATATCTCGCGAGAGAGACCTCGTTCGTCCTCGTCGCCGTCGTCGACGTCACGAGTCGTTTGCAATTATTACATGCATATATCGTGTCTGTATACGCTTCTCCTAAATTATATTCCATACAGATGATAATCGACGTTGATAGAAGTAGGACTACAGCTTTCGTATTTGATTTTGTGCCACTTTGCGTTGCTCCTCATTCGCTCTTACGCTATCTCGCATTCTCTCTCTCCCTCACACGCACATCCATGTGTATATGGATACAAAATAAACGCAGTAAAGTCCTCTTAGTTGTTCGAGTTCGGCTTGAACGTCGTGTATTGTGGCGGCTTCTCGCTCTTGCAATGCGGCTTCAACGTCGCTAAGCGATCGGGTTTGAGAAACAGCTGCTCCCCCTGCACAATTGCCATCTTAGGATCTTAACCCTCGGTATCTCGCAAATTTCCATCCGCATTAACCCGCTACGGCTCGTGGGGAACTGTATCTTGAATATTTATTATGTTGATCTTCGTTGTGATCTCGGGTATTAGATGCTATCTCGTAAGAAAATTATTCTTCCGTGTTGTGTGTACCGGGAGATAGCACGAAAAAAGAATCGGGTCGCAAATTAATTCAATAAATCGTGCTTGTGAAGATAACCAAGTTACACAACACTGTGGAGACAAAACCAGAGACAGAAAATATTCACGGACATATTGTTCTCTGTGTATGTTCGACATATTGCGGAGCTGAAGAGGGCTAATGCGAACTTGTTCTTCGTACGTTATGCATACGCAAACAGTGCATTGACTCGCACGAACTGCTATCATGATGTTCTACGGGTTATTAACTTGCGGCAGTCAGGGATATAGAAACTAGCATAGGTTGTGCAATCTGTGCAATTCTATGCGCGCCCGAAAAAGTGGCGCGCGAGGGGATAAAATCGCGGGGTCTTTCTCTACACCCTCGGCGCTGCGCAGGTGCCAAACAGTCCAGGCTATAACAGTCAGGGTAGATTCAGCATGACAGGCAGAAACCGGGACTAAGGGAGCAAGTACACAGTACTAGGTATGTGCATAGTATGTAAACGATGAGACGTACACTTTCAGCCGTACATGAGTACGAATCTCGCGTAAATACGATAATTACGTATGCTTCCTCTCCTTACCAGAACATTATGAAAATCATGATAATAATTATGATAATTGCATAATATCAAATAATTATATAATTATTTAATATTCACATATATATATAATTTTACATAATTATATAATGAAAAAACACAAACAACTATGATAACGAGCGATGAATAATTGTATGAATGAGACGAATAATGAATAATAACAAATACGACGAACGGATGCGACGATACACTTTTCGCACGCGATGTATTTCGCGTCGGCGTGCAAAGTCAACTGGCGCAACGTGTGAAACAAATGAAATCAGCGCTTATTATTCGACGCAAATTCCCAAAGCGCGATCATAATGCCCGGTATGGCTGCTCTCGAACGTGTGATCAGGATCGGGGGATATATGCGTGGGTGCGATGACAAATGGCAACACATACGCACACATGTGTGATCACCTTTTAATGACAACTTTATACACGGAAGAGAACTCGAGAACTCCTCTCGGAACTATTTCATACGCCGTACAACGGAGTCCCGTCATCATATTATTAGTCCGATTACAGAGTCGGTGTAATTCGCATCAGAACGACGACGACAACAGTCAGGAGATACAATACAAGTTTTACTCACTATGGAGGACGATTGATCGAGGTAACAGCAAACAACGGTGCGTCGTATTTGAGCTCGAGGGGGGAAGGCAGGCGGGGCGAGGGGGGAGGGGAGAATATCGGGTGAAAAGTAATCTCGATCGGGAAATCTCTCCTCTCTCTCTGTACATAACTCGCAGGGTGCAGGGATACATACAAAAATGCAACTCCGACATGCTCGAACGTTGGGTCGGGTGACGCGCTCTGAAACGATCTGTACAGCTTGGTTCCCGGTTTCGTCTTTCTTTCTCTCTCTCTCTCTCTCTCTCTCTCTCTCTCTCTCTCTCTCTCTCTCTCTCTCTTTCTTTCTCTCTCTGTCTCTCTTCCTCTCTTTTTATCGAGAGTTCCTGAACCGATAAATCATTCGTATGACTATACTATACAACTGCGAACAAAATCACGTCGGCTCAGTTGTTGTAGTTTAAACTGCCGCTCGTGACAGCGATGCAGAGGCGCACGTGGCAGTGTTGAACGTGAGTGGGCGATTACATCGCTGTTACCGTTAAACTTTCATTGATTGGACGACGACTCGGTATTCTTTAGATCGTGATCTAAGCGAGTATATGTATACGCGTATGTACATATGCACTTAGGGTTCGATTAATAATAATATATATATTTATATATATATAATATGTATATCGTCGTTAAGTCGTAATGAGCATAGTTTTGACTAATTTAATGCCTATTGTACAAACACTCTTGAATGGTCTTCGACGGTTCATCTGCGTCTTTCGAGTGTACGACTTCAACAATCAGAGGAAAAAAAGAAAGAAAAAGAAATGACATCTTTAAGTATCGGTGCCCGTGTTAGTCGCGCCTACGACGTTTAAACGGGACAAACGATCGAGTGAAGGTACGACCACGAGTTTACAGCTATTCTCACAACCGTGTAAATTTTCCAAACAACCGGGAAGGAGGGAGGGGGAGGAAGGGGGATGATCTCGATGCGCGATCGGCCGTCGTTGAGTGCGCCGCTACTTAAAGCGTAAATTTACTCGTCTCGGTCGAGAGTCAGTCTTACGTTCTTGAATCCCGCAGGACGCGTGGCTGCCGAGTATACGCTCCTTTCTGGATGCAAACGAAATTAAGACAGGATGAAAAATGAGTTGCCTCCGCGAGAAACGGGCGAATGCGGGAGAATCGACGGCGAGGAATTCGGGTTTAACGAGGGTTGGTCGTGACACGCGACTCGTCGATTCTTTTCGGCTTCCACATGCAACGAAGCGCTCCCGAAACGTGCAATTAACTGTAGCTTAATGAGAAGACACGTCTCGCACGTACAGGAGAAACTCTGTCGTAGTATTCGAGCGTTTATTTATTGTTACGACCTCTTTAACTATAATAAACTCGAGCTATGTAAATCCGGCTCTAAAAGTTTATGCAAGAAACACATTTAGGTATATGAACGTATGATTTCCCTCCTACTTAATTATTGCTGCGTGTGTGTGTGTGTGTGTGTGTGTGTGTGTGTGTGTGTGTGTGTGTGTGTGTGTGTGTGTGTGTGTGTGTGTGTGTGTGTGTGTGTGTGTGTGTGTGTGTGTGTGTGTGTGTGTGTGTGTGTGTGTGTGTGTGTGTGTGTGTGTGTGTGTGTGTGTGTGTGTGTGTGTGTGTGTGTGTGTGTGTGTGTGTGTGTGTGTGTGTGTGTGTGTGTGTGTGTGTGTGTGTGTGTGTGTGTGTGTGTGTGTGTGTGTGTGTGTGTGTGTGTGTGTGTGTGTGTGTGTGTGTGTGTGTGTGTGTGTGTGTGTGTGTGTGTGTGTGTGTGTGTGTGTGTGTGTGTGTGTGTGTGTGTGTGTGTGTGTGTGTGTGTGTGTGTGTGTGTGTGTGTGTGTGTGTGTGTGTGTGTGTGTGTGTGTGTGTGTGTGTGTGTGTGTGTGTGTGTGTGTGTGTGTGTGTGTGTGTGTGTGTGTGTGTGTGTGTGTGTGTGTGTGTGTGTGTGTGTGTGTGTGTGTGTGTGTGTGTGTGTGTGTGTGAAAAACGTGCAAAAGAGATACACTGAACAACTGGCCTGAAATCTACAACTTTACAGTCATCGAGTCAGCCAAAGAGTTCGATTTAGTTGTTTAGTCATTTTTTATTTTATTGCGTTCGGTAGAAACGAATTATTCGTCATCGGCCAAGTGATCGTCGTCGTTGTTCGTGATTTTTCGCCAAAATTCTTGCAATGCGCATATCCTTATCGTAAAAGATGACCGGTTTACCGTCGAGAAAGGCAGAAGATCGAACTGAATTTGTTTGGCTGACTCTAACACTACCTATAGGTTAGAGACAAGAGCTTATATGCTAAACTACACAGTTTGCTTATTGATAACCATCGTTGATAAACGCTCGAACGTTAAGTTTCGAAATTTCGCGAGCGAATTCCTCCGTGACATTGAAGGAACGTTCTTTCCTCGTTCGTGCAGCTAAATTGCACGGTTTAACCGCTTCACGTGCACGTAGGGAAGACGAAGAGGGATCAACGAGTCGCACTCCTTGCGAGATCAAACATTCAATTTCACAGGGAAGAATTTCGGTCTGGCTAGTGTTTCTTTTGTTTCTCCTTCTTTACAAGTACGAGATACGACTAAACTGTACTCTCTCTCTCTCTCTCTCTCTCTCTCTCTCTCTCTCTCTCTCTCTCTCTCTCTCTCTCTCACGCACGCATTCAATCGTCCGTCCGGGGCGGCGTTATCGTCGACACGCGTTCTACTTATGTACATCCATCTGAATTAAATTACAAACAAGGACATGGCGGTAATTGGTGGTGGGACGCCCGGGAGCCGGGATGCAACCAAATGCATGCGTAATGCACCCTACCGAGCGCATAAATCACTCAAGCGACTATCGCGATCGGAGAACGTGATAGTTCGATACTTGCGCGTGAGCGCGAGCGTGTGAGCGTTATCACCGCATAAGTATTTGTAGTGATTCAACATTTGTGGATCGTCAAAAAACTTCCCGCGCAGATCTTTGCGAAGGGACGACGTGGCCGGGCCAGGTTCCCGCGTGCAATCGCAATAGTTACATCACATAACGACCATAACGTCATGATAAACTTTTACGCGCGTAATACCGCGAATGTGGAGATGAGCGTAACGTAGCGTTAATTATATTACTTTCATCGGTCGGAGTGTCAACAAATTTTTGGACGACCCAGTCAGTTAGAGCGTACTCGTCGTTTGTGTACGTGTATTCGGTACATTAAAGCGCGTAACGTGTGTGTCTATATTTATACATCTCCACGTTTGGTCGTGTCTGTGTAAGTGAGCGGGTGGTGTATGGGTATATGTGTGGGTACGCGCGCTTGTACGCCTGTATGTGTATACGCGTATCGAAAAACAGTACAATATTTTATTTATATATAAAACCTTCGAGATCTTTCCGGGAGAAAAGATGAAAAGTTTGCGCTCCTCGTTCCTTGCCTTTTTTAATCCGATTTAGCGTGTCCCGCTCCTCGTCCTGTAGAAGGAATTTTTCCTGCGCCAAGATTGCTCGCTCATTGATTCAATTAATGGACACATATACGAACGTGTGGGTGAGTTGGTGGGGAGACTGGGTGGGGAGACGGGGTGGGACACGACAAATGTTTGAACAAGCTGTTATTTTACTTTTCTCTCTGTGCATACATTCCGTTTGGCGAGCCCCCGCAAGCGAACGTTTGAAAAATAAATAATGCCGATGGTTACCGACAAACAATCCGATGAATTAACGGATACAAAAGTAGGTCGTAGTGTCGACGGGCCGTCGACGCCGATGAAATTGCTACGCATAATCTGAACGGCTAGGAAGGGTTAGTTCCGCATTCAGGTCAAGTCGCATGCACTTGCAGTTTCGCTTTCGTGAATGCATCGAGATTAAATTTACACGCGCGTGCTCGGCTGGCTACTGTCGGACGGGTGCAAAATGAGCAAGCAGCTGAAAAAGTATCTCGTCGGGAGCGTAATAGAGAGCTACTGCTAGTGACGTGTGTTGGTCGGTGATTCGGCGAAATTGAGGGAGAACTCTGTAGCAGATTTGGTGTGCATTAACGCGGCCGAGTAGAGTTTTGCATGCGAAAGGGAAATGCGCGCATAAATCGGCCGTGCCGGAGATGTTCGATCGCGTTTTCTGACCAACCACCGCTGCTCGGGCAAAGATATCGTGCCTCTATGAAATATCTCATCGTTCAATAAAACACTTTATATACATAATCAATACTTCCCGACGGCGGAATAAATCATTTCACGGCTCGAGTTTGAATTCTCGCGGTTTCAAAAAGTGCCCCCACTTGATCGCGCTTCCTAATATTATGTAACAAATTTGTATACATTGTATACATATAAAGTAACGGCATGTAACGATTTGTGTTGTATTGACGTGTATATATAGTATATATACGTACATACATATACATATATATAGTGCCTCATTTATATAAGTTTGCTCTTTAACAACTCTCTGGACATGACATATTACGTATACGTACTGAAGAGCATGTCGTGCAAAACTCTACGATCGCAGCCAACTAATAACTAACTCCGAACGTCGAAAGGACTCAGAGGACCATACATGTGTGTTTGTGTATGTCAAAAACTTGCTGCGAACTTCACGTGCAATTCAGAAGCAACGGTGTGACATGTCAGAGACGATAGGAGTAGATAGTGAGACAGATAGATAAATAGGTAGACATGGGTAGATAGACAGGAAAATGAAGAGATAGAGAAAAAAGGAGAGAAAATAGAAAGAGATAAAAAGAAGAAGAAAACAAGAGAAAGAGAGAAAAGGAAGAAAAATAACGAGGTATGTGCCAGGAATCAACTACGCACTGTGTGAGAGAACGGGTTCGGTTATTTTTTGTGTTCTGTCTTATTGTCAACTTATCTGACCTGCAACGTGTATTGTCCGTGAGGCTGTCCATGATGATGATGCCTCTGATAATGTTGCTGCTGGTGTTGCGGGTCGTGCTGATAACATTCCTGCTGGTATTGCTGTGACGGGACGGGCTTCAGAACGTGATTGGCTCGCTTCTCCGGGACGAACTGCTGACTCGTACGTTCCATCGTATCCACTGCCAAGCGTGGATCCTCTATCATCGCGTTGGAAGCCTTTGTGCTGCGAAACGGCGAACGGATATCATTCCGGTTTCGTTTCATTAGACGCTTTGTGTACCGCGCACTCCACGTGGTATTCGCGCGCGCGCGCAGGAGGAGGGAACGAGCAGCAATGTTTCCCGGGAGATTCTTTTTAAAAGCACTCTCTATGACCCATTTACCTCGAAAAGGACGGCTCCAGGCCGTAAGAATCTATGCATAACATCAAACCGTCAGGCAATTTATTAATCTCGTTACAACTCGTCTCTCTCCGAGAGAAAGATCTCGCTGATGGATGAAACGATTCTCCTTCTTCTCTTTAAATTAAAAACGCGAAAGTATAAACATTTCTAAATACTAGTTTCGTCGAGATACATTCTTCTCGTCTCGAATTAAACTCCATCTCGCCCTTCGGCCGGCGACAAACGCGAGGGAACCTCGTAAGAGCCTGGAGAGAAAGCCTTTTCTCCACGCCCCGGTCTGAAATGCGTGTCTCTTTGCAGCGAAAATCCCGAGTCCCCGCGTATGCAAATTCGCAGACGCTCCTGCAGCACGATTCCGCGCTCAAACGTACACAATATTGGAGCATCGCGCGCGCGCGCGCGTGATCCACAGCGGTCCGTATAAATCAGCGCGCTGCGCAATATCGCGTGCTTACCAATGCACTTGCTGCAGCGCCGGCACCGTGTTTCTGGCTACGCAGCATCTATCCGAACGTAGGAAACAAACGAATCCCATTATCAGTACTGAGAGCACCGTGAATCCGGCTACGGCGCCGATAACGAGCGGGATCTGCAGCAGAGAAAAATATTCCATGTGTGCCGGCGTGGCTAAAACATTTCCGCGCGCGAACGTTTTGTGTCGGCCGCCATTCATGAAGACGGTATACGCGAGTATTTCCCGGTCTTTTGTTCGCTCACCATGCTGTTAAATATTTCAGTGCGCGTTGCAATACCACCGGATTATCGTTTAATGACTCGCCACACTATGGACTGTATAAAAATACACACGCAATCGTTTTGCAGACTTCGCGTACGCTTCGTTGAGTCCACATTGAAAGTTTCACCAACGCGAATATCTCGCCCGTCTTTGTTTCGCGCATAAAGAAGAGGCTACTCTGCTTCTTCGCATGCGTTGAGAACGACGCGAGTGTTTCTTTCAGAATGCAACGGATGCGCGATGCTTTACCTGACCGGGCTCGTCGACTCTCAGCATGAGCGCGCGCCTGTCGCTGCCGCGGTCGTTCTCCACGATAACGTGATACAGCCTTTGGTCCTCCTTCACCGTGCTCGTCAGCTCTAAGATCGCTATGTAACAGTCCTCCGAAGCCAACGGTTCCAGATCGAGCGCGCGGTAGCGCGGCTCCAAAACCTCACCTACCGGATAATAGAACGACTCCATGCATCTCGATAATTTGCACTTAATCCCGTGTATCCGGTTCTACGGTCTCAACTGAAGTAACACGTGGCGAGGAGAGTAACGAAAGAATAATGCGTGCAAACTCCAAAAGACCGCTGGAAAGAAAAGAATCAAGCGATAAGCAGTCGAAAGTTGATCAATTGGAATATCGTGGAAAAGAAAAGTGTTGAACAAGCGAATGAGAGAAAGAAACGGTTGATCCAACTAAAATTATAATTATTTTCGGCCCCAATCATATTTCTCGATTGTTCTAACACGAAAATGGCAGTAGCAACATGCACCTAAGGTTATTGTCATCGGTATTATAGTATAATTCCATAAAAAAATGGTTTCCTTTATCATAATTTATAGCAATTACACATGTGATGTGTAATACGTGTAATTCTCCATGTGATTACACTTACAAATATCAAATATTGTTTCTCGCAGTGTATGAAATTATAAGCGTGGACAGCGTATTCCTCGCACGCGCAACGGTGTGTAAAGATCACCCGGATATCGCGTTCCCTGGCGTGGCGCGGAGTAATTATTCGGGGGCGAAGAACCGTGTTAACGGCGACTAATTAATCTGCCTGATATCTCGAGCGACGACGGGGCTGGAAAAAATTCAGGGCGTGAGTATCCGGTGGAGAGCATCGATTTGGGGCCTTGCGGAAATTGGACGGATGTCTCAAGACCGAACTGATCTCGTGGCTCTCGGGTTACTGCGGGCGAATGATCAATTAACCAAGGGGGTAATTGCGAGCACGGCGGGATCGTCGATAAGGTACCCGTAGGAGTGCCAATTATGCCGGGAAGCGCGCGGAGGAAAAAAAAGAAAGAAAGAAGGATGTATACGAAAGAGCAATCCCGGGCAAGCTCGAGTGCTCTCCCTGTTGGTTCTGCGAGGGCGCAGGGAAGTTTAACGGGTTTGCGTTTAGGTGGATGAGGTAGACGCGGAAGAAGAAGCGGAAGAAGAAGAAGAAGAACGGCTAGGAAAGAATAGCGAGAAGAAGTAGCAACAGAAGCAGAAGAAGAAGAACAGTCGTTTATAGTGTAACTCGAAACAAAAGCCAAAGTAGAGTTTATACATTAACGGTTCGTTGGGCGCGCGGTGACGGACGTCTCGGTAATGAAGCGGATGCGTAATGAGGAAAAGGAATCGCGGAAAGTTGTGCGACGAACGGCTCAGGGACGAAAGTCAAAGCGCGCGGTTGAAGTAAGCGAGTCGCCGGCTCGCGGTAATAATTTCGCGCGCGAACAACGTGCTGCGAAAGCGGAATTTGTCCGACACATACCCTTGATCATCGACTGCGCTTCTCGGAAACACTGAGTAAAGAATATCTGTAACTATATAATCATATAATCATAGAAAAATAATTACCATAAATTATGGCGTAATAATTTTTTATTAAATTCTACTACAGTGCTAGCAACAATAATCTTGTATACATGTTACTGCTACCATTTTCGTATTAAAACAAGCAAAAAATATGACTGGGACCAAAAATAAATGTAAAGCTCATTCTACGATAGAGAGCCGTAAGAATATGCAATAAGACGTAAGTAGCAACTAAATTAATCAGTCAATTATTTTTGGACTGTAAAGACCATCGCACACAAAAGAGCATAGCTGCATATATGCAGAGTAAGACCATCTGAAGCAATAAAGTTGCTATATTGATGTGTAAAACATGTTCATTGGTCAATACGGTTTTATGCTATGCACATGCAACTATGTTATTTTGCGTGCGATGACTCTAACGTCGAAACACACAGAAAAACGTAAGCAGTAAAGTTCAAGCAATAAGAAAATTGACCGACCACAATTAACGATTCTCCTTACGATCACAGAATAATCGATTGATTAATTATCTTACTGCTTACGTTTTTCAGCGTGTCCTTAAGAATCTCATTGATCAATTAATTTACTGCGTACTTTTACGGCTATCGTGGAATGGAGTTAATTCTAGTTAGATCAGGCAGTTTCCTTTTTCTCTCAGTGAAGATAAAGGGCATCGCGTCGTTGTGGCCAGCTCGATCTACGGCCGGCTCTCACGTGCTCGCGTTATCGTGTTGCGAGGAGTGAAACAAAGCGACCGGGAGATCAATGCAGCCCTTAAACTCTAATAGAAAGTTTCCGTGAGTCGGCCCATTAATTCCCCGGCCCTTTCCGCCCTCGAGCGGTGCGCGCTTTGTCGTTTACTCGGGTGTGACGGCGAGCGCGCTGTCGCCGCGGCGATATCACACGCTACCTCGCATCCTTATTTTACGTGCCGCTAAACATCCGATTAATCCCCCTCACGGGATACTTCGTTAGCGCGGGCTCGATGTAGCAATTTGCGACGATCCGTCATACGCATTTTGCCAGACAGTGACACTTGTTTCGCGTCGAATCCTCTCGCATCCTTCCGCGAAGTACGCCAATTAGCGCAAAATCGATCGTTACGTCAGGCGCGGGGGCGCCGGTGACGTGATGTCGTCGCGGCGGATTTAATATCGACGTGATCGTCGGAGTTTAAAACTGTCGCCCGTGTTCGTCGAAAAATAGCGTCATTTAAATAATAACGAACCAAAGCTCAATTATCGTCCGCTTGTCCCGATTGTTTTCTACTCGTTCTCTCGCTGGAGCGTAGAAAAAAAGGATTTGGTTAAATTACCCAAATTTCCGGTGAGATGCGAACGAACCAAAAAATTCCGGCTGGCATCACCAGAATTCTGTTCTAGCTGACAAGCGGAATTTCCTAGCTCGTTCCTGATTTCAGCCGAAATTTGACTTTTCCCGAAGGGAGAACTCAGAACTCAGCGGCGCGCATGCCGAGTAAATAAAGGGGCTCAACGCGAAGACGAAATCGAATACTTCTCGTGGGAGTTTGTTTTGAGGAAGCAGTCTAACCGGCGTGTAGTCTGGTGCTGCCCCATTCCCAAGCAACGAGCCGTGGCTTCGGGTCGGAGCATAGTCTGATCTCTAATCTGGCCGGGTTGCCCTCCGTCGTCGCCACGACGAACTTCTCCGTGATGGCCGGCTTCACCACCTGTGACACGCGTTTAACGTCCTTTGAATAGAAAGTTCCTCACTAGTCTCCCACCTGCGCGATCATCAAACGGCGTACGTGAGCTTCGCGGCACACCTTTATGCGAGAGCGCTCATGTCGCTCTTTCGACTGCCTCGCGATATGCGCACGTTCGATTGATATATCACTGGGACGGCTGACCAGTTTTCGTCTGCCTCGTCGTTTTTCGGGGTTACCGCAATCGGGATGTTACGGGACACGTTTGTTAGTCTTTTGACACGCCGACCATCAGCGATACCGCCAGCGATACCGCAGTGTCTCATTAATTTACGTATAAGATATATGACAAATTACATACAACAAATTGAATATGTGGCCAATAACGAACCAATTACACGAGGCAACAGATGTATGCGTCACATGTTGCATTTATTTGCCGCGCCTACGGTTATTCAGACTTTAATTGAGTTTTGAAACAATCAGCGCGGCAGTCAGCGTGTAGAAGGGAGGTTCTGGTTTAGATAGCCGCATCGCGTATAATAATTTGGGACAAATAGGATAAGAAATTAAAAAAAAAAGCTGTACCAAATTTACTAAAGGATGAATCTTTATTATACGCGAAGAGTCAAAATTTAATAAAATGGCGGCACTTTGAAGTCACAAGTCTTTTTTTCTCTCTCTTTCTTTATTTAGTGCCCCAAGAAAAATGCTTAATTCTGGACATTTTCTAGAAAGAATTTAAGTTTATCCTCCAGCAAATTTAACACAGTTTTTCAAATTCCTTTGTCCCATTTGTTTCCAGTTGTTACACGTGCTGTAATGTTGTCCGTCACTTAGTGGCATCTGGCGACGCTGCATAAAAAAACCTAGACGAGATTTCAATCGTTTAAAATAATTTTTTTGTACTTGAAACAATGGTGAATGGTGCAATCAAAACTCTGCATTAATATCTCTATTCAGTATCTTTAAGAAAAATTCGTACTTATTTTTCGGCTTTCTAAACCAGAACCACTCCTTAAATAGTATAACCTTAGCGACACCTATAATGTTGGATATACGTACCCGACAGTTGAAGAATTAAAGTTCATATTAATAATCATTACATGAAACTTATTTCAAGTGAGATTTTCCGAATCGTATTTAGAGTTGGATGCGAGTTTTTCAGTGGAACAACAATTGCAAACGTAACATCGCGCATATCATACAATTTACTAGAGAAATTTAGATATAAAATAAGTAAAATCTGAATTCGAATCTGATTATCTCACGTGAGACAAGTTTCAAGTAACGGCTATTGATATGAGTCTGAATATATCAGTGATTGCTTTATATTAGGATCTTTGCGAATTAGTAAGTCTCGTAAACGATACTATAGATCTAATATTAAAGTTTGCCGAATAAACGAGTTAAAGAAGGAAAGTTGCATTAATAATTTTGGAATATATTCATGGAACTCTCTCGGGTCGCTTCACCTGCCGCGGGCTCAAAGATTATGCGCGTATTCGCGAATAACGTAGCTCGCACGAAAGCCGTCGATCCGTTCGATGATATAAATTTGTCGACGCATCGCTCTTCCAGCAGCGGCGCGGAAATGTTTGCAACGGGAATCGAAACATCGCTGATGGATCGTCGCAATCCTTTTTATTACGTCCTACATTGAAACCTGCATGGTTCGTGCGTGCACGTGTGTGTGTATGTGTGTGTGTGTGTATATGTGGGAGAGGCGTTATCAGGAGAAATGGTAACGCGACTCCATAAAAATAGCAATTTAATTTAGATAAAAACGACCCCGAACGTGAAACTAAACGCTAAATGCGAAAGCGGAAATAATAACCGGTGCGCGGGCCAAATTCTCGATCGCGAAAGAAACGCGTGATTGATGATGGGCTCGCCGCGTTTATAGTTTAATTTGAACGTAATATTATTCCGCGCATCGCGAAATAAAAAGTATTATCAGCGGGACGGATACATTTTTCACATTATATACGCGGATACGCGCTGAAATAATCCGTATTCATTTTCGCCGTATCGCGTTTCAAAATTCTCCGTTTCATCGATCGCGCGCGCCCAGCTAGAGAGAGAGATAGAGAGAGGAGAAAGAGAGAGAGAGAGAAAGAGAGAGTGTGGAGGAAAGAGAGGTGGTGACGTGTACCTAATTTAACGTGCAAATGCAATTCATCATGCTCCCAATATTTATGGCGGCGACACTTGTGTTTACGTACGGTATCGTGACCATAATTAAAACATTGATTTGATCATACCGTATTGACACATTTCGGCTGATTTTCACAACAAATCGTACGATAAAAGTCGCGGTCGCCCCTACCTCTCTTCCTTTATGAGCGATATTCGTCTCTCATGGTGCATGTGTAATTTAGCGCGTGCGCGTATGTGTGTATGTATGTGTGTGTGTGTGAGCGCGCGCGTACGCATCAGAACCAATTCGAACGGGGCACTGACATTAATAACGTGAACTTTAGCATATGAAACAGCCTATTAAATGATGGGAATCAAAGCTCTGTGCAGTTAGTGAGCCGCATTAAGCCGTGACTGCGTTTCACCGCCGGGTAAATGTGATTATAAAAAGGAGAGAATTAAAAAAAAGAAAAAGAACGAACAAACAAACGCTGCGTTACTGTATCACGCGGACGTAGTATGATGCGGACTCCTCTTCTCTTCCTTGTTGTTCGAGTTTTATTCGATCGGGACGTTTTATCAATATATCAACTGATTTCAGACGGGCAACGGCGCCGTTGCGAAGCGAATCGCGAGCGATCGGCGGCCTTTGTGCGCAATATTTGACTCACGCGTTGTACACGTGTAATATAACGCGCTGTATGCACGTGTATGTGTGTGTGTACGCGCGCAATGCCGGAATCAATTTGGACGAGGTATCGACATTAATAGCGCCGCTAAATTTTAACAGATAAAACGGCCCCGTATTAAATGAAACGGAAATCAAACCTTTGCGTAGTCAGTGACCCGCGTTAAGCCGCGGCTGTGTTTCCCCGGTGAGCAAATTCGATAGAAAAAAAAGAGGAAATAAAACGAATGGGAGAGAGAAAAAAGCGCATGGCGTTGCGTCACAGAGCGCGACGCGGAGTTTCTCTCTCTCTCTCTCTCTCTCTCTCTCTCTCTCTCTCTGTTTGTTTTTATTTTTAGCGTTATTAGCCAAGTAATTAGCGGATTCGACTGGAACTGTCGACTTGGAGCGGTCGACTCACGAAACGCCGCGATATCGCGATAATTGGAATGCAATTTAATCGCTGCCATTATCGCGTTATCGTTCGGAGATTTTGCGTTCGCGAAGACGGCACGTCGTCGAGCGCACATTAACCGGCGGGACAGTTGCCATAATGCACATAGTGCAACTGTGTTAGACTTCTGTAATTGTACGCATTACTGGCTAGTCGTTTATTGATTGTTCGGAAAAGAGCGGGAGCGACGTGTCAGTGCGGCGATCTGTCACCGTGACAGTTTCGCGTTAATGTTCAGCGGCAAACGTGCACGATTGAAAAATACTGGCAACGCAATTGCATGGCGTATTCAAGCGATTCTGCCGGTTAGTGCACGCCAAAAGAATCGAATGCCGCGGTTCCTCCGGCCGAGAATCGAATACGTGGCGGGAAACTCATCGAATCGGCAATTGGTGGTCGCGGCTATTTTTTATATTATTCGCGATTGATTATTACGAGCGAGCTCGAGTGATGGCATGCTTTTAATTTAATTGTTGATTATTTTTGTATGTCCGAATAAAATAAAAGCGGGTCGGTACCTGCGCAATATCGAGGGCACTATTTTAAACAGAACAATATGGTGTTCGCGACAATTAACGAAGATATCGATTTTTAATGCCGCCTGCAGCGCGCAATGAAACTCCACGATGACGTAATATGTACGCCGCTGTTGACAACAGAAACGTTACGAAGTATATATCGCTATTTTAATTGCTTTCGAAGTCGACAAGTGTGTGTGCGCGCGCACACATATTCACACATCCAGTGTGTTATTTCGAGGACAATCTTCGAGCTTCGCCGCGTTTTATCATAATTAATATTTACGCGTCGCTTGCTTAATAATAACATTGATATATTGTTGTTAGGCGACAATGATATATTATTGTTAAGCGACAATAAGCAATATTGCGAGATACGGCTAGATAAAATGTACGAATGATTGGAACAATCGTCGCGCGATCTCCACCGGTTCCCCAGGGAAAATGTGTGCAGATCGCTTCGCAACCGAGCATACCGGCGGTGGAAGTAACTTGATGTCACGATAAAAAATTGACGTACGCGGGAAGTAATCCCCATGGAGGATCATAACTTTCAATTTGCTCGTCGATTATTTTCCTTTAAACACCAGACGCGCGCTCCCTTATTACCTTCAGCATTTTTTATTTTCTTTTTCTAGCATAGTCGACGCGAATCTAGAGCAGCTTCCCGCCTCGAAGTGACGAAGCGAAACGTGATTAATGCGCGTCAGCGACGTTCGCTGTACGTTGAAAAACTACATTTCGCCAATTTCGCCGCGATATTATAGCCACGCGGGAGAGATATACATCCGCGGATATATCCCGTTGCCGCGGCGGCCAGAGGTATTCAATGATCCAGAATCCTGCGATGTAATGAAGCGATATATTTTTTCGCGGCGCGATACAAGCGAGAAACGCGATTCGTCCGCGCCCGCCGCGCCGGTAATTTTCATTTGCGACGGAACTTTTTCTCAACGTCTCGGCGCCGCCGCCGTCTTACCCGTGGCGCGCCGACCACTTGCAGGGACACAGGGTCGCTTTTAACTTCTCTGACGTTCCCATTGATCTTGTTGGAAGCGAGACATATGTACTGGCCCTGTTGCTCGTACGTCACGTTCGTCAGGATCAATCGCTGCCCCGTGCCGCATTCCAATGGCATCCGGCCGTCCGTGAATACCTGCGCCCATCTGCACACGCGTAGCCGCACGAGAATTCGCACGTTAAAGACATTTTCTCTCGCGAATCCGCCAAAGGGGTTGCGCAAAGAGAAATTCAAGAGAAATTCAAGACAAAAGGAGCGGAAAAATGGTCGCGAGCGTTCCTCTGTGCGGCAACGTTACGGTTAAACGTGATGTCGAATTCAGTTTCACAAGTATGAGGGTCCAGTGACTGAGAGAAATAGCAGTCGCACGCAGAAATTGACAATAGATATGACAATAGAACATCAAGATATGACATGTATAGAAGCGCAGCGAGACGATAGTTACTTGCAAGATGCACGTAAAAAAAATTTCAGTTGGTGCAACCAAATAGAAACTAACTGAAAATTAGATGATCAGAAACGATATCTCTGTTATGAAAACCAATATTTCTGTTGTCGCAATCGAAAATATTCGTCTGAATATTCAATGATATTAGAACTCGATTGAGGCAACTGAGAACAACAATTGACTATATAGAAGCCTCATAAAGGAATTTTTCTGTTCCTACAGCCGAGTTTTCGTCTGAACAACCGAAAATTCGGTTGCACCAACAAAATTGTTTTTTCGTGTGGATATCCGCGTTGGAAATGTAAAATAAGTATACTCATAATTTGGTAGTCTGATAATACAACAACCACGAAGCATTTCGGACACGATATTTTTATATGAGAAATTACGTGATGCTCGAAACGTTCAGAAAAATTATATGGACGACCCCGATGCGAATGCAAAGTTCTAGAGGAGGGCAAAGAAATGAATTTCACAACTCTGTGGAAAGAATTAAAAATACAAACCGCCGAGATGTAAAAAGTAGCAGCGCGATAGCTACTTGCAAGATGAATATCCGCATTGGAAATGTTAAACAAGTATATTCATAATTTGGTAGTCTAATGACATAAAAACTGCGGAAGCGTGCTACGGTTCGCGGTGCGGACGATATTTTTTACACGAGAAATTGTATCGCGCGCACGAAACGTTCAGGACAATTATGCCGGTGATGCGATATCATCGCGGATGTGGGGCTTTAATAGAAAAAAAAGCCAATTATATAATCGTCGGAAAAAAAAATTAAAAATACAAAATACGGAGATAGGGAAAAAGAAGAGAGGCAATATCTGCTTGCGAGTTCAACAACCGCATTGAAACGGTAAAATAACTGTAAAATAGATATATCCGTAACTTAATGATGTAATGATATAATGATTACGAAGCATGCTGCTTTCGTTCCGCGAAACATGCCGACCAGAAATTTATGCCATAGTTTTGGTCCCGCTCTGTTAACTAATTTGTACAAGGCGATGTTATTGGATCCTGATAAGTCATGTAACGTAGCGCGTGGCAAACAGGATCTCATTAACAAGGATTATTAGGACTTTGGCGATCGTTTGGTACATCTACCAGTAGTTAGTTTACACCAAAAATTTAATATAAAAAATACTAAATATTTATACAGCATAAATATCTTAAATATATTCCAGAGGCGTCTGAAATATACAGAAAAATCTGAATATCTCTCAGATATATTTTAGATATTTGTATTGTATGCTTGTTTAATATATTTATCAAATGTTTGGTATAAACTTGCTTAATGACAAACTAGTATATATATATATCAAACGATCGCCAAAAATCATCTATTAATAATTACGATCTTGTTAGTGATTATAAGCAGCTAACATCACCTTATACATTGAGAAAAATATTTGAAAACTTTCTCGTGGAATATAAAATATACAAAGCAGAAATAAATTTTATATCCTTTACAAATAAATTTTTTAAATATTCTTTTCTCGATGTACGCAAATTAAATAATTGACTAACGAGGAAACTTACACAAGGGTCGGCCTCCGATTTTCATGAACTTCTAATATGTTGTACTTTAGATCAAAATAACAGATGTTTTTTATTATATGTGCCCTTTCGCAAGTTTAGGGGGTGAAATATCCCTTTGAAGAAAATTGGTTTTTTTCATTCGAAGGAAATATAATGAAAACTATAAGAGATAGAAACAAATATTTTGGATAAAAGTTGAAAGGTTTGAAGAGTACTTTACAGAAATTATTGGAAAAAAAAAATTTTTTTTTGTTAATATTTCCCTTACCACTTCTTATTATAATTATTAAAATAATTTCTGTAAAGTATTCTTCAAACCATTCAACTTTTATCAAAAATATTTTTTTCTATCTTTTATAGTTTTCATTATATTTCCTTCGAATGAAAAAAAACCGATTTTCTTCAAAGGGATATTTCACCTTTTAAACTTGCGAAAGGGTATATAATATAATAAAAAACGTATCTATTATTTCGATCTAAAATACAACATATTACAAGCTCATGAAAATCGGAGGCAGACACTTGTGTGGGTTTCCTTGTAAGATCAATCTGATCAGAGGGTCATGGGACAAGTTTCTAGTCGGGATACTTTTGCATGTGAGAGAAATTATGCCGCGGTCGAAACGCTTGAAATTCGGACAAGTTCAATCGTATTGAATAAACAACATGGGTTACCTGTAATCGGCCGGCGGCATAGAGTCAGCGTGACACTCGAAGGACGCGCCAGAATATAACAGTGCAGTAGTCAGTCGATCGGGCCCAACCGCGCTGATTGTTGGTGGATCTATGCAAAAGAAAGGATCACGGTGAATCACGCTTGCACGATTATTACAGTTGCACACAAGGGGGGAGGGAGTGGCAACTTACTACAACGTAACGCTCATGGTAAAAATAATGAAACTTGATCATTTACAGAAATATTCATTTGAAATATTTCAAAGTATATATTGTTACAATGTTGCAATAGTTCCCATTGAAACCTCCAATTTCACGAAATATTACAGTGAAAAATGACAACTCTCGGACAAGTATAAACGATTTGATTTGATTGAGAGTTAAACTTTGACAGATGATATCAGTGACGGTGACGATCAAAACGACAAGTGTGCGTCAGAAACGTGCACATGGATGTATATGTGTGCATTATTAATTATAATATACGTTTTTTTGCGATTTCAGATTTTTTTACTTTCGGCCAGGTTTGATAGCTATGCGCCCGCTGACGCGTCATGCTTGCAATTTTATGCGAATGCTATTCCCACAGGAATTGTTTTCAGCTGCATATTCGTGTATTGAGAGAGATATTTATGATATTTCTCTCTCTCATAATCTCGAATGCGAAGAATCACGATGGAGGGAACAAGTCTTTTGCGATTGTCGTCGGTGCGAAAATTGTAACTCCGCGTGCATCATAATCGTGGCTGCGACAGCTCCTTGGGATATGGAAATCGCGCGCATTTTGAGAATTAAATTCGCGCGCGCGACGCAAATTCCGAGCGATTTGAGATACAGAGGAACAGTCAGCTGCGGTGAAACAGTAGTCGAGAATCACTTAGCGACGAAAGTTCCTGATATCCTATAAATTACAGCAGCGACGACAGTCACGCGAACTTCGAGGCGCAATTCGGACAGAGATGATGAATCGGTTGCGAGTAGGGGCGACATTACGTACAGTTTACAGACACCTGAACCGACACTGGACTGCTCTCGCCTTCGATGTTGGACGCCTCGCAGAGGTAAACGGCGGCGTGATTCCTGAAAATCGGCGAGAACTGCAGAGTTTCGCCGATACTGGCTACCTCCGTCACGCCGGGGCTCTTCGTTTTCCTCCAGAGTATCGAGGCTGGCGGATTGGCGTCGGCGAGACATCGGATTTCCAGTTGATCGCGGCCCTCCTCCAGCTGGCCAGTTGGGACACCGACTAATCTTGTCTCCGGCGCGTCTAAATTCATGCGAAACGCGCGCTTAATCACGACAGTCGCGGCACATATTGGTCCCGCGCGAATATATATATATATATATATATATATATATATATATATATATATATATTTGTGTAATATTCGTATCCTTAAGGGAAAAGGGACTAAACTTCACGTCTTCTCAGCTCTTAGTTACGAAAGTCTAACGGTTTCCACACATCCTGAATCTTAAACATTCTACATTCTCAAACATTAATTTTCTCTTCTAATCGCTGAAACGTTAATTTATTGATATAGTCGACATGTACATAGCATTTTGAGATGTCTAAGGCCTTTATAATTACTCGCGTGGACGTTTCAGTCCTGCATTAATCCTGCGAATTCTGTGAAGCTCCAATGAGAATGGCCCTTTCAGAAGTTGAAAATGAATTTAAAGAAGTTTTTGACGGAGAACTAATTAAAATTAATTAATTAACATTGTTCAGTTCGGGTGAAAGAGCTGAAGAAACAAAAACTGATCCTATTTTTCCTACGGTATGAATATTACAGGTTCGTATTAATAGTCATTAGTAGAAATTTGTTCCACATATGAGATATTCATATCTGAATTTAGAGTTAGATTTGAGTTTTTTATTTAAATTACGAATCATATGCTATACGTGACATTATATTTGCAATCGTAATTCAGATAAAAAATTTACATTTAACTCTAAATTCAGATCTAAATATGTCACCTGAGGTAAATTTTAAGTAACGACTATTAACATAAGGTCATTATCTTGCCACAACTTACAAAATTCGAGAAACAATTACAGAACACATACACACACATACTGCCTTGATAATAATATATTTACGCGTTTGTGTCCGTGAGAGAGAACGGTATCAAAGAGCCGAGTAAGAGTGTATAACCGCGGAAAGCCAGAATGAGAGTTGCGCGAAGGGTTAATTAGAGCCGGTGGGCTCACGTCGGCGTAAGGATATTTGAATATGATTATGACCTCATAGCATCAAACGACTCGTGCGAATATTATCCCACTAACAATATTAATATTAATATGATAATGCGGCCGCAGCTTCTTTGGGCCGCGCGCGCTCGTTATCCACCTTCGACGGATTGAGGTGAAAAACGCGACAGTAAGAACCGCCGTAACGATTTTAATGAGAGAGCCGCTCGCGGAAATTACGTGTAATTATCTCGGAAGAGAGCTCTTTCATATTCATGTCGCACTACGTAAACAAGAGGAATTTAACGTAAATACGGCACGGTTGGAAGCGGCGTGGGTCCCGTCATCGCTACCCTGGGCTTTAATCGCACCAGAATCGCCGGTCGCGGCGAACCGCAAAAGATAAACATTGGGTACAGAAAACGAATGTGGTCCGCGGCGTAAAGTTTTCAGATTAAACCGCTCGTTAATGAGCCCATAATTAAAAGACCGAGACCTATATTCGTTCGAAGGCGCGTTCGGCGTGCTCGCGAGCTGCTCTCTAATATCAAATTTCGCGATAATTACACGCGATCATCCAACTATCGTTGATTGGCATTGGAAATGCCAAGGTAGAACGCGCGCGCGAATGTTTATCCTCTATTTCCACCTCATCTGTTCTTATTTAATTAGCTACATCATTATTCTCGTATTACTTTATTATTCTCAATTTTATCATTCATACTTCAAACCAAATGCTATTATGCAATATTCTCTTATAATTCTTCACGATGAATAAATTCAGTTCAATTTCTTGCCTTTTCTGCTACGAGTAAACCGTCTCATATACTATCGTCTCATATACGATGGAAATATACGAATCCTGCCAGGACATTGGCGAATGATTATAGACAGCAATATTTAGTCAACGAGTAATTTTTTTCCATAGAACGCAATGATGTCAAATTTGCCGCAAAAATTGGAGCAAACTTTTTGACTGACCAACATTTTAGGCTGTGTTCCGATATTCACTGTTAGTACTGAAAACATATAGTTTATGTCATGTATACTGTAGATTTTCAGTACTGACAGTAATTTCGGAATGCAGCCTTAATCTTCTTCTTTTAAATAATTTATGTGAATTTGAGTGAAATAAATATTACATTAAAAAAAAATTGCTATTATTACATTATGTTTATGAAGGGTGTATGGGAGTTGCATTATGTACGGGTGAAATCCCTGATAGAGATTTATACAGTTTTCCTAGACACTCAACCAGTTACTGTTTAGTATTACTGCATTCTGATTAGTTGTATCAAAACTGTGTAGGAAATGGACAAGAACTTGGTAGAGTTTTGTCTATATCAGTTTTAGGGCAAAACTGGCCATTTTATGAGCAGTAAATTTGCTTATCAGTCGATTGGATAGTTTCATTGTCCATTTATTGTTTCAGTTTTCGTTCAATGGTTCGGATTTTGCGTATGTTTTGTGTGCAATAACTGCGGGAAAAGCGTTATATGTTGATCGGGATTCCAACAGTTTTACTCGTCACTTACTAGACGGAAGTTAATATAACTGTTCCAGCAATTGTTTAAAAATTGTACGAAATTTCCACCAGGGATATAACATCGATATTTTGCTGCGACAAATATATTTAGCAAAGCGACGTTTCTTCATTGAGGAATAAATATTTGAAAATTTGATGGGTTATAAAGCTCATTTCTGCGAAGTATATGAAGTTTATTTTTTTTCGGTGAATAATATCCCACCAATAAATTAAAATTTTTTTTTCTCTGTGTAGTTTGCCTCGTGTTTCGAGTGTAGATACGAATACCGGCACGTGTATGTTACGTAGCACGGTTGTCTCGATATGAGGAGAGGTGAAATCGCGCGAGAACGCGTTCAGTCTTAGCACTCTTTTCTCTCGATGAATCGAGCAAGCCGAAAACAATGGTGACTTCGGTGTCGCGGATAACTGATGGTACCTGGTGGACGCGATGTCTAAAAAGCGCAAGCGCGGGTCACGCGCTAATTACCTCCTTCGAATAATTAATTAATCACCGTGAGCGATGAATTTCGCGGGGTGTGTATACCGCGGGCCAGCGTATCGCCGGCCTGCATCGGTTCGTTTTAGTATTAATTTATATATGATTGAAATAGCGTCGCGAAAACACGTGCGCGCACATACACTCATTTTCGCGTTCAGATTGCAATCTATCATCGCGCCGGCTAGTTGATTTTTTAATGAATGATTGATCGATTGTTGTTATGTATTTACACGCAAACTTTTAAATTAGAAGTGAAGAAAACGCGCGGTGAATTAATGCGCTGATATTAGATTCGCTCCTGGGACGCTGAAAATTGCACGCCCGCATCTGCGTTTGACCCCGCAACGTTAAGGCACTGTTTAAATGCATTACATTGTCTTCGTGTACATTGTCTTTCGTTATTCACGCTCGCACGCGTGATGCCCGATGAATAATTCTTCTCCTTTTAATTTCGCTCGCCAAAATTTCGGCCGCCGCCGATTATAATGGACGAGCGATAATTCGGAGGATGATTTTGACGAGTGAACTGGGTCAAACACACACCCACACACAGTTACGGCATCCTACTGGTCATGCAACGATGAAGTAATTCATGTTTATTTACGCGATATTTATTTAATTTACTCTCCGGTATAAACCGGAGCCAAATTTCATCAGCGGGCCGGTTCACTTCTGGTTTCCATATTCATGTAATAGGTCGTCGTTGCGGCCATTAAAAATGTTAAACGGCGTTACGTTTAATGAATAACATTATGGCGTATCCGACGAGAGAGATGAGCTGCAAACACAAACCGAGTTAACCCACGCATCGCTTCGAGGCTTTATATGATACGCTCGTTCTCTCTCCCCCCCCCCCCCCCCC